GCCCAGGGGTGAAGTGTTCCAAAAAGGGAGAAAGCTGCCTTTTGAGCCTGAGGGCCTGATCCTGCGGATCTCTTCCACTGACAATTTTTTTTGGTAAGAAATGTGTATTGTGTTTTATTTCTCAGCGTTCGTGAAAAACAATCTTTCTTATTGCAAGTGTTTAAAGTTATTCTCCACTTATACCTATCCTGAAATGCTGTCTGTGTCGCCTAGGTTTCTGTATCTGCAGAGGGCTTTTAAATTTTTTTTAATTAGTTTATATACAGAAAGGGGGGGAGGGGAAAGGAGGAAGAAAATAAACAGAAATATTTAAAAAATCCAATTTAGCATTCTGCATGCACATCTTCTCATTACAATTTCACAGCTACTTCATCTGTCATTCTTATTATTCTTCACTTGATCTCATTTTCTTAAGTTTTAACCAGTCATAGAACGCCTCCACTGACACTCTTATGGCATCTCCCCTGATGCAAGGAGGCCTCGCTAGGAAATCGTGCACCAGAGAAGATGCTGGAACAGATTTGCAGGATCCATCCCAAGGAATTTTTTAAAAATTATCCCTCTAGTGCAGGGGTGTCAAACATGCTTCCCGGGGCCCGGATCAGGCCCCCGGAGGGCTTCCATCAGGCCCACAGTGGAACTGTCTGCCTTTTGCTTCTTCTTCCAGTTCTGCTGCTGCTGCATCATCGTAGGTTTGCAGCTTACAGATACACACCTGAACAGCCTACTCGAGATTGCAGCAGCACAGACATTTTGATGCAGTAATTCAAAGCAAGAGGTTTCAGTTATCAGACACTGAAATAAACAACATATTGCAAGAGTGTAATCTTTCCTTAAAATCTGCCTCCATTCCTGAGGATTGGAAGGTAGCTAATGTCACTCCCATCTTTAAAAAGGGTTCCAGAGGAGATCCGGGAAATTACAGGCCAGTCAGTCTGACGTCGATACCGGGTAAATTGGTGGAAACCATTATTAAGGAAAGAATTAGTAGGCACATAGATGAACAAAACCTATTGAGGCAGACTCAGCACGGTTTCTGTAAGGGAAGATCTTGTCTCACTAACCTGTTAGTGTTCTTTGAGGGGGTGAACAAACATGTGGACAAGGGGGATCCAATAGATATTATTTACCTTGACTTCCAGAAAGCTTTTGATAAAGTTCCTCATCAAAGGCTCCTAAGTAAGCTCAAAAATCATGGGATAGAAGGACAAGTCCTTTTATGGATCAAAAACTGGCTAGTTCATAGAAAACAGAGAGTGAGTGTAGGTGGGCAATTTTCTCAGTGGAGGGTGGTAAGCAGTGGGGTACCGCAGGGATCAGTACTTGGTCCACTGCTTTTTAACTTGTTCATTAATGATTTGGAGATGGGAGTAAGCAGTGAAGTGGCTAAATTTGCGGATGATACAAAGTTGTTCAAGGTGGTGAAAACCAGTGAGGATTGTGAGGCACTCCAAGGGTATCTGTCAAGGATGGGCGAGTGGGCGTCAACATGGCAAATGGGGTTCAATGTGGCCAAGTGCAAGGTGATGCACATTGGAGCCAAAAATCCTAAATATAAATACACATTGATGGGGTCTGAACTGGCAGAGACTGAGCAAGAGAGAGATCTTGGAGTTGTAGTGGATAACTCACTGAAAATGTCGAGACAGTGTGTGACTGCAATAAAGAAGGCCAATGCTATGCTGGGGATTATTAGGAAGGGTATTGAAAACAGATCAGCCAATATAATAATGCCCCTATATAAATCAATGGTGAGACCTCATTTGGAATACTGTGTGCAGTTCTGGGCACCACACCTTAAAAAGGATATTATAGCTTTGGAAAAAGTGCAGAAAAGGGCAACTCGAATGATAAAAGGGTTGGAACACTTTCCCTATGAGGAAAGGTTAAAGCGCTTAGGGCTCTTTAGCTTGGAGAAAAGACGACTGAGGGGTGACATGATCGAGGTTTATAAGATTATGCATGGGAAAGAGCAGGTAAAGAAAGAGGTACTTTTCTCCCTTTCTCACAATACAAGAACTCGTGGGCACTCCATGAAACTGCAGAGCGGTCGGGTTAGAACGGATAAAAGGAAGTACTTCTTCACCCAAAGAGTGATTAACACATGGAATTCACTGCCACAGGAAGTGGTGGGTGCTACAAGCATGGACGGCTTCAAAAGGGAATTAGATAAGCATATGGAGCAGAGGTCCATCAGTGGCTATTAGCCACAAGGTATAGCTAGGGGCTCTGGGGCAAGTGATGCTCTGTCTTCTTGGTGCTTGGGGGGGGGGTCAACAGTGGGAGGGCTTCTAATGTCCTGGCCCCACTGCTGGACCTCCTGATGGCACTGGTATTTCTGGCCACTGTGTGACACAGAGTGTTGGACTGGATGGGCCTTTGGCCTGATCCAACATTGGCGTCTCTTATGTTCTTATGTTCTTAAATGTAGGAGCAGGACCAGGGTACTTTAATCCATCAGGGA